AAAGTGATGCCGTATAGAAAACGATAATTACATACCATATAAACAAAACCACAATGATAAACCATATAAACAAAGCCCGCAATGACAAACCATATTAACAAAACCACAATGACAAATCATATAAACAATACCACAATGACAAACCAAACCATAATGACAAACCATATAAACAAATCCCGCAATGACAAACCATATTAACAAAACCACAATGAGAAATCATATAAACAAAACGACAATGACCAACCATATAAACAAAACGGCAATGACAAACCATATAAATAAAACCATAATGACAAACCATATAAACAAAACGACAATGACAAACCATATAAATAAAACCACAATGACAAACCATATAAAAAAAAACACAATGACAAACCATTTAAACAAAACGGCAATGACAAACGACATAAACAAAACGACAATGACCAACCATATAAACAAAACGACAATGATCAACCATATAAACAAAACAGCAATGACAAACCATTTAAACAAAACGGCAATGACATACCATATATATATATATATATATATATATATATATATATATATATAACGACAATGACATACAACATAAACAAAACGTCAATGACAAACCATATATACTGAAAACGACAATGACAAACCATATAAACAAAACGTCAATGACAAACCATATAAACAAAACGACAATGCCAAACTATATAAGCAAAACGGCAATAAAAAACCATGTAAACAAAACGTAAATGAGATACCATATATATATATATTTCACTTTTTTGGTCTTTTGGAAAATTTTGTTTGTGCTGTATTTAGACCCCTCTACCAAGAAATTTGTTTTGCATGCACACATATAAACATTGCGGTTTTTATCCAACGCAATCATAGGTTTGAACGTTGTTTTCAATTTAGACTTGTTTATATGTTTTCGTTTGGGCTTGTATTATATTTGACTTCGGGTTTATATAATCCGTTCATCCTATTTCGACTCTTCAAAATTCAAGAGTCTATGTATATATATATATATATATAAAACGACAATGACAAACCATGTTAACATAACAGCAATGACAAACCATATAAAAACGGCAATGACAAACCGTATGATAAAAACAAAGAAACCTGGAAAATGAGAGGATAAGTTGTATATTCTTTCAAATATTTCTGACCTGTTCCATCTGGCGTGTCATAATCATTTCCATAAACGTTCAGTTCCTTCCTCTTTCCTACAAGTATCTGGGCACAATACGGCATTAAATTCGGAATACATTTAGGGTCTTCTCCAATTCTGCCTGATTTGTGAGCACCAACTGGATTGAAGTAACGTAAAACGACAATATTCCAATCCTGGAAATATTGAAATCCATCTTTCTTATTTAAGTAATTACCTCTTAAATTACAAAGACAAATAGATAAATGATAAATTTATCAAAAAAAAGGTCGAGGCATCAAAAAGAGCACCGAGACATATAACAAATCTGGTCTCACCAATACAGCACACCATATACCTTGCTATCGGTCCTGCAAATGCGATACGTTACACAGATCAAAATGTGCTGTACACGATGGTAAAATTCATTGAATTACAATGGCAATCGGGAACACAGATCCTATCGTATCTGCAGTAGTGATAGCCGGTAATAAGGTGTGCATAATAAAAATGCTATAAAAACCCAGGATTCTCCAAGTGACTAATGACTATGTGAAGCTATATATTCCTCTGAAATACCTAATATTACTATACCGTCTCTTTAATTCTTCAGTTTTAGTTTTAAAAAAAGTCACATTACTATTAATCATGTTTTTTTCATTGTAAAATAAATTAGGTTGAATATGTGAGAGTAACCATGATTATCTTTATAAATCGAATTGATTTATTGCTTAACTGCGATCCTTATTTTGAGACAATAATACAGCAGGTTAACTAAAGCATTGTATATTATAAGCGTTTTTATTTTTTAAAATTTAGGTGTTGTTGATGTAAGATTGTGGACGACCAGATGAATATGTCCATAACTTTTATAAATTTAATACTTTTTTCATGTATATAAGTAGTGCGCTAACAATGTTTCTGTTCGTTAGAAAAATACTTTCAGAGGAAAACTTAAATCGCACACAAAAAATGCATGTTTCGTCATTTTTGTTAAGTTCCATGCAATAACATAAAGATACAGGTCATCTTAAAATTTGAGAAAAAACGCCGAAAAAAAATCGTCTCTTCTCCTCCGTTAAATTTTAAAGCATTTAAGTTTTTTCTTTAAAGCCAATATATTTATTAAAAGATCAGAAGATACCAATGAGAAAGACAGTCAACACCATGAACGGCAATCAACGGTCTACGAAACACTACAACACGATCTCCATCAAAACCAGGGTGCTATAGAAATTTGTCGATCAGAAAACTGAGCAAATCTTATTCTAGTCAAGGGTATAAAGATTAAACAAGTTTAAGGAAAATACCCTGTTAAAGTCATATGAAACAAGTTTTGTGCTATTATAATGTTAGAGCTCTAACGAAATTATTGAACCAATGCATGCATATATACTAAACTAAGTCTTCTATGCTTTTTTTAAACATTATTTTTTTATTACGAACAAGGATTTGTATAGTATACAAATCCTTGTTACGAATCATAACGTATAATCGACAAAAAATATTTCACTCAGTGGTTGTTGATCGGAAACTTAAGCTGCTCATTAACTTTCGAGTTTTGTTGCCGAAGTCTACCGATCGTGAACTTGATAAATAATCAATAAAGAATCATGGGGCACCTGAAAAATCAGTGAGTTGATAGATCGAGGTTATTTGTGTTTTATATCTTTTCTATGCGTTTCAATTTGTTAATTAGAATTGGTCATATCAGTTTGTAAATGATTTAGTATATTATTTTTTGTTCAACAGTTTATTTAACACTATCTACCTTACAGTGCACAATTATTTACCTTTTCTTTCATCACGGTTTTCCCTCGCACTTGCGCTGTGCGGTTTCCGAGACGAGAGGTCTCTTGATTAGGTCACTGCTTACGGAAAAGTTGTCGTTGAAATATACTACGTGAAGACAATAATTCAATAGCAGTACATTTCTTTTACAATAAAGTCCATGTATAGTTGTTTTATAGTAAAACTTAGCCATTCAGGTATATAAAATATATTCATTTTTTTCTAATTTGAAGTATCACATGACTTTGAATATATGTTTTTTTAAAAGCTAAATCTGAGTAAACTGTCGCTATATTGTACTAGTTATAACCCAATTTACATTTCATACTCCAAATTACTTACTGGATCTGCTTTCCAAAGATCTTTTAATATTTCCTCTATGAAAAACTTGGTTTTTCCATATGGATTAGTGCATCCACCTATAGGATGATTCTCGTCTACAGGTAAATATTTAGGGTCGCCATAAACCGTGCATGAACTTGAGAAAATTAAATTTTTGACACTATGCTCTTTCATTACCTAAAATGTGTTGTAAATTTTCAAAATGTAAAAAAAAATGAAAAAAAAAGAAGTCTAAGGATCATGAAGTTATTCTCAACATCAATTTCTTATAACCAAATTAATAACATGTACAATGTAATTTTTCATTGAACTAAAAATAAGCTCTGGAATTATGTTGTATTAACTGTTTTCAGGCGAGAATTATTCCCTGTCATTGTGTGTGTTTTTTATTTTGTATGTGTGTGTGTGTGTGAAGGTTTCAATATCCTTTAACAATACAAACATGTTATGTGTACTATAACAGTTCACTTGTCTTTGTGTTTATAAATCTAACCGTAGAGTCAAGAAAATAATTTCGGCGGAATTTGTGTAGCCGTATATTGTTTTCTTGATGTATTTTATATATTATTTTAGGACAACTGCTAAAGCACAAATATTCGGCAATAATGTTACAAAACACATCAAGCAATTCATTGATTTTCAACAAGTCATTATCGGTAATGTCGACTGTTTTTTATGTTCATGAAAAAATTATCTGAAATATCAAAATTTTGAGAAGTAAAATATGATCAGTATACGTTTTTTGGTTTCTGAGATCTGTGATCCTATTGCACCTTTGCTAAATATTCTTTAATGAGCAAAAAAACTAAAAAAAAACAACAACAAAACTAACAATATAACTAGATAATTAACAGTCCCATGTACTCGTCCGCTTGTGCTTTAATTATCTCCAATTAACAATTAATACAAAGTATCAGAAGAGAGATATATATACCAGTCTTGATAATTGTACCCTTGATACCAAAGTTGTCTTTTTCGTTTTGTCAGCTCCTCAACGTTTGTATTAGGTTTTGGATTGCAAAATATTTTGACCTCGAGCGTTACTGAAAAAATATCAATTGTCGAAATGCAAATCTGTTGATGTAAAAAAGGTATCGTTAATATTATTGTCAATGTTAAGTTATTTGTTGTTGTCTTACCTCTAATAGGTTAATGGCTCCTCCTACATTTATGTTATAATATAGTAATGGCAGTTCACAGGACTCTTCTACGTTTTTTAATCCAGCAAAATGTATCACACTGGTAAATTCATGCTGAATGAAAAAAAACCCACATATTTAGCATGGTATTTTACTTGAAAACGATTTATCCAGTTTTCTGATTTATGGGTTTTGGTATGTTTTGTTGACACTCTTCAAATACAATTTAATTGCTTTGTCTTATATTGTACTCATGTTGAATACAAAAATAGTAGTTATGTGATATCAGATAAATTCTTTATTGTGCCTGCACAATAATCACTCCAATAAATTCATTGGTGTATTACTTCATCTTCATGCAAACCGATTGGGTGTAAATATTACTATCATTACCTTTTTAAATACATCTTCTAGAGCAGATTTATTTGTTAAGTCTACATTGTATACAGGTATACTTGTTCCACAAATCTCTTCCACTCGTTTAACGCTTTCTACAAAACAAATTTACATTGTATATAGGTATACTTGTTCCACATATCTCTTCCACTCGTTTAACGCTTTCTACAAAACAAAGTTACATTGTATATAGGTATACTTGTTCCACATATCTCTTCCACTCGTTTAACACTTTCTACAAAAAAAAAGAGATCTAGTCTGTTAAAATTTATACAGGAGAATTTTTAAGAGTTCGTCTTTATATTCCCATAATTATTATATGTGTTTAGATCGCATCTGGTGGTATATTGTTCTTAGCAAAATACGTTTCTTTTGATATTACTTTTCAAAATCATTGCATATCTTTAAAAGCAATATTTAGATATTATCAAAATACGACAAGAAAGCTGTGTATGTACTTAGTTGAAAACTATTCATATTACATATTCATATACCGGGATTAGCGTTGATAAAGTTGTCCACAACAACAACAGAATATCCAGCATTTACCAGTTCTATCACAGAATGGGTACCAACAAAGCCGGCTCCTCCTGTCACTAAAATACATCCACTTGACATTTCTCTAAAGTATAATAAAAATATGCTTTTTAATGCGATATAAAGTCATACACAGATCCACCATTCATAGAAATAAATGAATTTAAACATTTCTGATATAAAATAAAATATTATGTTCAAACAATTGCTATAAATGAAGACCTGTTCATCTCGACATCAAAGTGTGTAAAACAACTGGACATTTCTGTAAATAAAAAAATGTCAGATAACAGTTTGAAAAGGGAAAATTAGAGATACGGCAATTTCTGTTTTGTACTTTAAAAAAGTCTAACCTATACAATTAAAAGACGTAAAAGTTGAAAACATCGCTTAACATTACAATTTTGTTGACCAACAGAAATACTTTTATACCATGATGTCGGCACCAAAATGAAAATATATTTGTTAAAGTTGTTGGGATGTAAACATATTGTATTAAAGTCTTCCAGATATTGACCATCTACATAACAAGCATATCTAGTGTGACCAATGTAATTCGACTACTAAGAAACTAAGAAGATGCTGTATGATTGCCAATGAGAAAACTTTCCACCAGAGACGTAGAAATAAGAAACTAAAGTTCACCGTACGACCTTCAACAACGAGCAAACCCCATAACACATAGTAAGCTATAGAATGCCCCGAAATGACAAATATAAAACAATTCAAAAGAGAAAAATAACGGCCTGATTTATGCAAAAAACAATAAACGAAAAACAACATGATATACAGCAGCAAACGACAACCACTTTTATTAAATTTTTTTTGGGAAAAAAACGTTTTGCCTTCATTACTTTCCATCGCTGTTTATAAAAACCAAACTAATAAAAACACAAAATCGCAACACTCATGTTTATCTTTTATAAAGCGCAGACCAAGAATGTGTGTAAGACCCCTTGACGCTTTTGTCACCAATGGTGCACAGACTTGTCAATTAAATCAATTACGTCGGCATTCTGCTATCATGTCAGATCTCATCATTCGAAGTGAACAGTGGCCGCTATTTTCCACATACATTATTTGTTTGTTGTGCTTTGCCTTAAACTTGATTCTTTAATTAATACGGTTTATCTCATTTATAAGATAAACCAATTTAATGAAAGATATTTGATTAAAGCATCATTCGGATCCGTATCTCGTTTCCCGCTAATTAACGTCACGCGACTCTTCAGCCTTACATAATATTGAACTAGCCACTCTTGTAGATATGATCAGATATGTGAAAGTTTCAAAAACCCACCCACCTCCCCTTGCAATTTACCATCTAATAACATTTTCTTTTGTCTGCTGCTGTTTTATTAATTTTTCAGGATGACCAGAAAAAGCCGGATCCATAATGTTATTGTACTAAATAGAGAGGACAAACAAAGCCGATGGATTTGCTTGCTAAATCATACTTTCGAGAACTATATGTTAATGTTAATTTTAGTGAGTGGCTTGTACTTTTACCAGGATATTCAGATACCAGCAGAGTGAAAATGGAACTATCAATATGTGTTATTAGTTTGTCCGCCAGGAATGCATTAAACTTTAATTTTTCTTTGTTAAAGATCAGCATTTATCTTGAAATTAATTTGTTCATTATATTGTAATAAAATAATTAGTCACAGTCAAAAACGTATGTCGGGATCTGGCAAGATTAAGGGGTTATGATCCTTTCCTGTATTGTACGTCGGATCATATTAGGTTTTTACCTTCCTGCGGTACCGCAGGAAGTTCTTTTGAGACCATCTCATGTATATATAGCTACCATGAGTTGCCGGTTCTAAATTGTTTCCCAGTTCGAGCTTAACTGTTTTATGATCTAGAAATTGTTAATCTTCACTCCCCTGAAACCAGGGGGTGATGCGAATATGAGCCGACGTATTTGGGGATCATGGCCCTCGTTCTCTTTAGTATTTAACCATTGACTTGTCAATTAAATCAATTACGTCGGCATTCTGCTATCATATCAGATCTCATCATTCGAAGTGAACTGTGGCCGCTATTTTCCACATAAATTATTTGTTTGTTATGCTTTGCCTTAAACTTGATTCTTTAATTAAAAATAAACAAAGTGTAAACCAAACTTTAAAGCGTTATTTTAAGAAATAAAATCAAAGGACGTAGAATCGAAAAATAAACGAGCAATTTTAATCAAAATTTGGTTTTAAAAAACATGTTTAGTTCTTTCAACAAAGGTCATCGGCTACTATAAAAATGATAATGTTTTTCAGTAAATGCATTTCAACAATTTAATTGCTTTGATTCAATTGTTGTAAATACTTACAAGACATTATTTTTTTATAAAACTATGAAAGGCATTTCAACCATTATTTTTTATATTTCCTCTATATGTCCTACCGTAAGGTTTTTTTACTTACTGACATCTTAAAACTTACCGGTTGTCTGATTATTATTGACAGCTTTAAAATAGTCGACAGTCTTTGATAATACTGACAGCCATGAACCTACCTGTACCGACAGCTTTGAATTCACCGGTACTTTTATGATATTAACTGACAGCTTCGATTTAACCAGTACTCTTTGATATATAGCAACGACCCAACCGGTTTTTTTTATATCTTTTCGTAACTTCGATATAACCGATACTCTTTGATATTTCTCGATAATTGCTATGAATCTCTTAGTACATTTTAGAGTGCTATCAATAAATTCATACACAACTGGCGAGGTCGTTTACATAAAAGTAATTTTTTTGTTAAGTCATGTTATTTCCAGCTCTTCTTTTTTTCGTTATACGACCTTTTGACCATATGTAATTACCTTTTTGTCTACGCATGATTGTTCTGAACATCTGCAACCTGTAAGAATGCCCTTTGACTGAAAATTGAGTAACACCTTCCATGTGCAGTCGGTCCATTCGACGTTAAATGGAAAATGAAAGTTGATAAAAAATCGGAAACCCCTAAACTGAAAATCAGTATTTAGTAAATAACTGTAATAAGAAAATTGACAATTATTCAAGTGCTTTCATAAAAGGGGTTATTTTTTAATAGACTTTAAACAAACAGATATCTATCAATCACTTAAAATTTTCAAACAGTTGTGTAGAATTTAGAGACTTACCTGTTATTCTCCCTGAAACAATTGACTTGTAGTTTCTTTAATTTATGATACAGTCTTGTCGATGAACAGTTTGCAGCTGTCAATTTTTAAAATCTGTTTATAATTGATTTTTTTGTCAAGACCTTTTGTTTTAACGTATTTCACAAGATATACCTGTACTGTATAGGTATTGTGGACCCAATACATATTTGATAAGAGGTGGAGGTCCACCTTACAAAGATATTATTCCTTATCTCATGCATAGTGGTGCTTCAGAGTTACCCTTGCTACAGCTGTTGGGATAATAACAACAGTAGTGGCAGGTAGGTTTTTGTTCTCTATATGGCTCTAATTTCAACATTAATTCTAGAAAGATTAAAAATGTTTTTTGGTTGACGTTAATATTTATAAGGTATTTTGAATGTTAATCTAGCTTTTTCAAATAAAACTTTTATTTTTTAATGTTTTTACTATTTAACAAAGCTAACCTTAGAATCTTCTGCAAATACAAGTAGACTTCCGTGTATAGCTTATATTATTACTCTCTAACATCTCCACATTTGTTAACACTATGTAGCTGTCATTATAGAATAACTTTAATGACCTAAATAGTAAATAATTTAAACCACCAAAAACTGTCAGCTGGGTTAAACAAGAGTTTAAATGTCTCACATTTCGTACCATACACCAAGTATAGTTAGCCTATTGCTTATTGTATCTGAGAAACAGACCTAACTACGAAAATTAAACATTGATCAATGAACCATAAAAATGAGGTCAAGATAAAATGAACACTGCCAGACGACATGCACACCATGCAATTATTACTTACACCAGACATAGTTGACTTATTGCTTATAGTATAAAGGCAACAGTAGTATACCGCTGTTCAATAGTCATAATTCGATTAAGCAAAAACAAGTCCGGGTCAGAAACTAAAACCGAGGGAAACACATCAACTATAAGAGGAAAACAACGGAACAACAGAAACACTGAACTACAACAAAAGCAAAGGCCAACATACATAGAAACGGACTGTCTGATAACAACTGCCATATTTCGGACTTGGTACAGGACATTTTAAGAAAAAAATGGTGGGTTGAACCTGGTTTTATGGCTAGCCAAACCTCCCGCTTATATGGCAATGTCTGAGAAATAGACCAAACCTGAAAAACTTAACGTTGTCCAATGAACCATGAAAATGAGGTCAAGGTCATATGAAACCTGCCAGACAGACATGTAGACCTTACAATCATTCCTTACACCAAATACAGCTGATCTATTGCTTATAGCATCTCAGAAATAGACCAAATAAGTAGAACAAAAATATTGAATTCCAAGGCAAATTCAAAAAATGTTCCGCTAGGGCACAGCTTGATACGACCGCAGAGGTCGAACCCTGAACAGCTGGGGCAAGTATGGACACTACATTCAAGCTTGATACAGCTTCAATTTATTTATTTATTGATGGACAACATTCGCTAAGTTTTTAAAGGGGTTCACTTCATAAACAAAATTTATATATAGCATTCTGCAAATTAATTTATACAGAATGACAAACAAACCTACCACGAAGTTCTTAAAACAATTTTCCAAAAAAAAATGAAAAAAAAAAATTTCTTAAATATCATTCATCATCAATACAATGTCTTCAAAAAATCTATAAAACTTGCCTTCATTTTTCAAAATATCGAATCATGCTTATAATGAACAGTTGATTTAAAACTATATTTTTACATAATTTCTAAAATTTAAATATGGTGCTTATATCTATTTTTAACTATGATTCTACTTTCAATTTCTTTTAATTGTGCAATACATCATTTAATTTGTATTGTGATTAAATATTTGACAATTTGGATTGTGATTAAATATTTGACATAGCATAGGTTTCTGACACAGAATGAATGTAGTCTAGGAACATAAAAATTGAAAGTTGGACATATATACCTTTTATGGTCCAATAACCAAAATCTA